AACCTCGCATGCGAACCCGAACCCTACTTTCGGTCCATTTTGCTTCCTAGCCCATTTTGCCTTCGGTTCCAGCACCAGGAGGGACCGAACCCTCGCACCTTCGGTCCTTCATGCGAGAAGCCTCGCAGCTTCGCCTCAACTTCCCGGTTTTCGACTACGACTTCATTTTAAGCCCGTTTTCCATCATTTTAACACGGGATTTTCACCCAAAACTTTATTCTAACATATGAAGCCCCAAAATACATAATTAATCACGTTTTTTTAGTGTAAGTCTTATCCAAGAAGAGTGGGTAAAGTACTTGAGGTGGAGTGTTGACTTTACTTTAGTTTATGACACAAGCAACCTCCCATACCCACTCCATGTCACTATTCACACTTTATGTCACTATTCACCATACCTGGTCATTTCATTGTCCTTTTCCCCCTCTTTCCAGCCAAGTACTTTGACTCAAGGGTAGGAAAACCCTTATCTCTCCTCCTATTCACTCATACTTCACCAAGAAGCAAAAACTCATTCTCTCTCACTTCTCTCTCTAGATTTCGAGATTTCAAGGCTGATTTTCAAGTTATTCATCTACCTTGGTAAGTAAATCTCTTCCCACATTTGATTTCCTTACATTTCTTCACTCAAATCATGAGTTCCTTACACAAATATCGTCATATTTGTTATTAGATCTTCGAATCTTCAAGCAACATCTAAGTGTTCTTGAGTTGAACACTTCTTTACTCCATCATCCATCTACTGAAATCACTCAAGGTGAGTTCATACCCCTATCTTTTCATGTTTTTCTTAAGTTTTAGGGGGGGGGGGGGGGGGAATACAAGTTAAAACACCAAGAGCACAACTAAACTCATCCAACAGCTTTCATCAGAAAAGTTTAACTCTATTCACGGACTGTTTTGGACAACTTAAACATTTTAGTTTTCAAAACTGTATTAGGTGCAAATAGTTCAGGTTCATACCTTAAAAATGACTACTTGCACATCCTCATACAATTTTTCTACGGTTTATGGTGATTTTTACAAAACTGTCTATCATTTCAGAAACGAATTCGGACCAGTCTGTGAATATGAACATTTTAACACAAGTTAAAGACTTCCAAAAATCATAATAAAAATTATGAATAAACTAGAAACATTTTATGAACTCTAAGAATTTACGGATTCAGTTTTCGACTTCGTATGATTTTTCTAAAACAGTGCTGAAATGTTAAAAACTAGTTAACAGCTTACAACTTGCATAATACTTTGTAACATGTTGAGCAAAGTGTATAACAATAAGTTTTAAATATTGAATGTATTATCTTGTTAGTTTATCATCATAAATTGAAATTTAGTCATTCATGATAAGGTTTACTCATTCATTTCGAACACATATAATAAACTTCAATAAGCATAGTTTATGGATTTTACTACATGAAAAAGGTTTTACTCTCAAAACAAATGGGTTTTCATATCCTACGTGATAAATTATAATAGTAATAGTTTAACGATTTCATATCACTAATTTATTCAGAAAAGGTGATTTTACTTCCTCCACGGAAGAGGTTTCAATATCAAACTATGTGTAAACTAGTTAACTTAGGTTGTGAGGAAATTCTCTCCCCGTACGTTCGAGTACGAGATCCCAATTCCTGTAAGTTATAACCAGAGTCTCTTGCAGGGAGAGCGTGATAATTGTGTATAGATCTATATTGGGTTTGACACCCCACACCTTGCTGCTAGCTACAGTGGGACCTGTAGGTCTACGGGTGACAAGAGTCATAATATCTTAACGTCTGAAAAACGTTGTGCAGGTTATTTCTCGTCATAGTATGATTATAGCGACTCACATAGGTAGTTAACAATCTTTCAAGTTTACATGGAAACTTTTACCTTGAAAAGGGGTTTACTTCTAAATCAAACGAGTTTATGTCGATTTAAACTTACATGAATTACTTTAAGTATGGTAAAATACTTGTACACTTTCGGTCTTAGAATTTAAGACAACACATCACTTTTATAAGGAAAATATTGGATTTTCTTTGGAAACATATTCTATTAAAACTACATTTCGTCTAGAATTGTTAGACTCCAGCTATAATTGCTAAGTGTATATGCTAGAGTTATATAAGAATGTCGTCATAGTCGACTTAGAATTGGTGGGTCCGCCTTATCTCATGTTCCTTGTTTGGTTGTGGACCTAGGGCAGACCCATTATATTCAACGGTTTATTTAACTTAAATTTTATATAACTTATATACGTTGGGCAACTATAGAAGGAATCTATGGGTCCTTCTAGGGTACATTATCGCATAACATAGAAGCATTCATTTCACACTTAATAAGGAAAATATTGGGGTTTTCTGGAAACATACTTTTTCGTTTTTACAAGGAAAACGGTTTCTTTCTCAAACAAAACTCTTATGAACTCACCAACTTAATTGTTGACACTTTTTCAAAACTACTTGTATTCTCAGGAAATCAGTGAAACAGGAAAACATCAGCACTTTTAGGAAAGGACGTTAAGTCGTGAAACAGTTCATTTTGTCATCATAATGTAATTGATTTTGAAACATGTAAACATATATTATGGTGTAACTTTTTCAATTATATTTATGATGTTTGTATTTACTTTGAGCACTATTATACTTGTTGTTGTGATACAATACATGAAGTCCTCCACCCCCGGACGTTTCCGCCATCCTTGGTTTGGGGGTGTGACAGGAAGGAGCCGGCTTGGTTGCAGCGCATCACACTATGTTTTCCGCACATGAGATCCTTGGGATTACACTCTGATATGGTTTTGTGATATTATGTTTTGATTATTGACACTTTGGTTTTGACATGAGACATTATTATGAATGTTTTTATACTGATAGTTTTATGTAATAACTTAATTAAAAATGAAATTTTTGGCCTGTATTTTTGGGATGTTACATCTACGTTGATGACATCGTTCTCACAGCTTCTAATGATACATTCTTAAAGTCCATCATCCACACGTTGTCAGCAGAATTCTCCATGACCAACTTGGGTCGCCTACATCATTTTCTAGGTATACAGGTCATACACAAAACTCGTGGTCTCTTTTTATCTCAGTCGCAGTACGTTAATACTATTCTCGAACGAGCTAATATGACAGACTGCAACCCAGTGGCCACACCCGTCGACACCACCTCCCAACTTAGTGCCACTATCGGGGAGCCGTTGAAAGATGGTACTCTTTATCAAAGCCTAGCGGGTGCACTTCAATATCTCACCTTCACACGCCCGGACATTACATATGACGTTCAACAAGTGTGCTTATTCATGCATGCACCCAGAGAACCACACTTTAATTTTCTTAAACATATTCTTCGGTACATTAAAGGAACATCAGATCATGGCTTGCATATTCTAAAGTCTCCCAACCTTCGTATTACTGCTTATTCAGATGCTGATTAGGGGGGGGGTGCCCTGATAGTCGTAGATCAACCTCAGGATACTGTGTATTTTTAGGAGACAATCTGGTCTCCTGGTCGTCCAAGAGACAACCTACAGTCTCTAGATCAAGCGCGGAGGCAGAATACAAAGGCGTGGCTAATGCTACTACCGAAACCAGCTGGCTTCGAAATTTACTTCTTGAGCTTCATGTACCGGTTACTAAAGCAATGCTTATTTATTGTGATAATATATCCGTTGTATACCTCTCTGATAATCTAGTACGACATCAGCGAACCAAACATGTTGATATTGATATTCATTTTGTTCATGATCTTGTCAAGATAAGACGTATTCGTGTTATTCATGTGTCAACTGATCACCAATATGCCGACATCTTCACTAAAGGTCTCCCACGCCAGCTGTTTCAATGTTTTCGGTCCAGTTTATGCATTCATTCCCCTCCTGCTGCAACTGTCGGGAGTATTAGATCGTATATATATCTCATTTATTGTTGTATATCCTTTCCTATTTATCCTCTTGTATTTTGGGTAGTTTGTTGTGATGGTTCTGTATATATTCGGTCATTCATAGGTAATGAAGACAGATTGCATTTTGCAAACTATTAGTTCGTTGTCGACGTAGCCACAGACCACGACCGTGCACATTATCCCGCCTGTTCGTGGTTGGGAGTTTTCAGGGTAATTGGTGGTGGGCAGAACGGAGGACCACAACCAATCGGCTTCTTCTACTCTCAGACGTCAACCTTCTTCTTCTTCTTCTTCTCTCTCTCTCTCTCTCTCTCTCTCTCTCTCTCTCTCTCTCTCTCTCTCTCTCTCTCTCTCTCTCTCTCTCTCTCATTTTTGTTGGTGGTTGTCACCAGTACACCAACAATGGTTCGTTGTTCGTCCTATATACTATGAATGGCCTTACCACACGAAGCTGAGGACCATTAGGTTTTAATTTTTTTTTTTTTTCAAAAAGTGAATATGAAAAGTAGAAAGCAAAAGACTAAAACATTGACAAATAGACCGTTATTTACAATGTTGTGATAGCCAATCTAGACAAAATTACTAAATCCAAAAAATACCAAAGGGCTTCTAGCCCAGCGGTATCCGGTGTTGCCCTCCCTCCTTGAGGTTGAGGGTTCGAGTCCCGTTGTGGACATAGATGGATTTAAGAAGTAGTTTAGAAATAGGTTAGATTTGCCGTTTCAAAAAAAAAAAAATTCAAAAAATATTTGCAAAAATCAGCTCTATGAATGAAACCAGAAAATAAACAGAAAAAGAAAAAGGAAAAAAGAAAACGAATATAAAAACCTCCGAGGCTCCGACCGTATCTTTGACAGTTTGACTGTTTCCATACACAGAAATTCTGATATGAACAATCCACGTCAGCTTACCAAACTTCAACTGTGGGCCCACCAGTTAACCTATAGTCCACGGCGTCCTCAATCCAACGAATGACGCGCAGCCACCTCTTCATCATCATCGGAACCTCCCCATGACGCCGAACTAACCCTGACGCAAACCGCATCATGCATCGTAAAGCAGGCGGTGCAGAAGGCGTCTCCGGTTCGCTGTTAACGGGCTTCACAGTCACGTAAATCTTTCTTGAAACGGAATTTTCTGCAGGTTCTTTGACTTTTCTGAGGATTTACCTTTTTTCTTCCGGCGGTGACCTTCAGAACGGAATAACGACGTTATACGAGACATAAAGCCAGCTTTGTGTGGTCTACTTGTTCCTGATCGTTGACTAGCAGACTTCTCCGGTTGATTCGCTTGTGCAGATGACTTCCTACGGCTGCGGCACCTCCTCGATCTAACTCTCCCAGTACACGAAACCTTCGGCGAAGACGGCTCCGTCACCAGAACCGTCGTCGGAGCCTTTCCGACTGAATTCGACCGCTTCGGAAATAGCCGTATGTTAGCCGGTTTACACTGCCTAAGCTTGGATTCAACGTAAGTCATCTTCTGCGTCTTCGGTAATCCAATAATCGCAGGTTTTGATTTCAAGGTCATTGAATACCTCTGCGAGTTCAAATTCGAGTGGCTAGGGTTCACATTCGGATTCAAATTCATTGAATTCGAGTTTCCTTTAGTAGATTCCTTCCGTTCTAAAAAAGCATTCCGATCAAGCCAGTCGAATTCGGCGTCCTCGATAGCCAGAACGATTCCGGCGTAACTTCAATTACCATGCTGTGTGGAATATCCAGATCTTCCGGCGCGTATCCATGTCCATCCGCCAACGTCTCGCAAGCAATCTTCCGATCACCACCGCCACCGCCACCGCCATCTGAGCATCTCCACCACCGCAGACCAAAACAAGTGATTCTGAATCAGCCTGTTGCATTCTAAGGAAGCAAAATCCAATATATAAATTCTGTTTGTTTGTTTGAGTAATGAGTATGAAAATAAAGAAAATGAAAGCAAGGGTTTTATACGAGATGAGATATTCTTTATAATTTTTAAATTATTTTCTCTTTTCTCCGAGCGTGACTTTTGCGTGTCTACACTTCTTTTCTCTAGAAGTTTAGATATTGTTCCCACCTGTCACAACTCACAATAGTTGTATGTAATTTGCATTATACTTTATTACAAAGTATTTTATTTATTTATATAAACAATTAAACAAAGTGCAATAAATACCGAGTTTTAGAACTGAACCAAAAAATTGTTATATTATGTGAGCATTAAAATAAAAGAAATTCTGTTTTTGATTGAAGTAATAAGTTATAACGATTGAAGTAATGAAGTGTGTTCCTCGTTGTCTCCGAGTGTTTCTAAGTAAGAGATTATGTCATCTTATCTAGACATATTATATTTCTAAAACTGAATCTTGGTTTACTCGTTTCCTCATTCCTTAGCAGCCACCATCTACATAACAATATTAAATTAGAACTCTGATTAAAGAACTGGATTCGGTTGTTGGATATACTCCATTTATTGTTATTTATTTAGAAAAATATTTATTTGTTTAGTCTATGTATTTAATGGCATAAAAGAACCGACAATAGTTTAATTGGATGGTTAAGTTCATGTTCAATACAAAGTATACATAATAAATCCAAATTAGTTTTAGCACCCGAAATGGCGAAATCACAAACTTTTAATGTTATAATAATAATTTTTATCGTGTTATTGTCACAAGAAGCGTGAAGACTAATTGTTTGCTTAATTTCCGTTAGAAGTTCCAGAGTGTTGTTTGATGTTATGGCAGGAAGATTCAAGAACAAATATATACGGCAAATAAGTTTTACTATTCAAAGCTTACTATTTGTTGGTATTAGGCTTATGGGTTTGTTTTATAATAGAGTTTTGACTTAACTATATATATTAAATTAGATTTGAAATTTGAACCACAAATTGTAAATTCGTAAATCCATTAACTAGAGTTATATAGGCCATCCTACAAATTGTCCAACTATGTGGATACCAGTCCTTCAAACCATCACATGATTAGAAAATAGAAATCTTTGAAATAAATGCAATAATTTGAAACATATTTCTATAACAGTTAAAATCCGAAAGGATTTGAAACGATGGTCTTTAAGTTGTTGTAAGTTCCCAATTACTCCATTGATCTTTTATTGAATAGGGGTACCAAATATATACAATTTTTAATAATCACGAAAATAGTATCTATCTAATATTGCAGAAACACAAGTTCGGAATGGCTCAAAAAGATGACATGGAAGTTCTTTAGTGAAAATGTTTTCATAATGGTCTTCAGCAAAGACATGAAAGACATTTCAATGAGGCCCACTTCAAGAGTTTTCTAGAAGAATGATATCGAGTTCTATCCGTGTCTAAAGTTGTGAAGCTCCTTAATGAAAAACTAGGTTGCTAAGGATGTTGTTATTATCTCTTCGGGGAGGGATCGAACCCGGATTCGTTGGGTGTTATGGCATACTGGCCTATCAGATGTCACTGTCCGCTGCACCAAACTGTCAAAAAAAAAAAAAAATGAAAGACACATGTTGCTCCGATATGAACTTTTTGACGAATGAAATGGACATCAATTTATATGTGTTTTGTTTGTTGGTGTTTAATCGAATTTTCAGTGTAACAGGCGATTAAGATATTGTCACATTAAACTATAGTAGTATGTTGAATAGGAACGTGAAGCTCAAGAAGTTACTTATCCAACTACTTTCTCATACTAAGGCTAGAAACACCACAATTTTTTTACTTGAATCGAAACACCTCAGTTTTAATACAAGGTAGACTCATTTTTTTTTTCAAAACAATATTTGCATAAAAGATGTACTTTCATATTAGTAAAAGGATATCCAAGTACATATAAACATGCTATAATACAACCAAACTATAAATGGCATCGTTCGGGTGTTACTACATCCAAAACAACTAAGTCTACATAAAATATCTTCTTAATGTCCCTAAGCCACTTTCTTGTCCTTATTGCTTGTACATATACATCTAATTGGAATCATAGAAGCATATGTAAGCTAAAAACCTTAGCGAATTGTCTAGTTATGTTGTAATACGCTTTTTTTTATTACTATTATTCAATTTGTCAAGATTCGTGTATTTAAGTTAGTTATTAATAAGTTTTGTTTTGGTTTGTAGATGAACAACTTGCATAAAATCTTCACTTTATGGCATGATTCATTCCGTGATAATTGATAACTAATTTTATATTTTGTATTTTAGATGTCACAATAATATCAAGTTCTTTGTCTTACACTAAATGTTTATTAATACTTACATCAAAAAACTTTAATGACTGTATATATAAAGAGTTAATCATTCAAGAATATTGATTTTTAATATTTATATATCTTATAATTGAATTCAAAACATTTGAACCTCATTTATTTAAAACTTTCATTGCAACTTCAAAATTTTATAATTCATGTGTACCTATGATCTCAAATTTAAAATAATTAATCATTACAACTCAATAGTTTTTATTATTATTATTATTTTTTTTAACTTATGAGTATTAGTTAGAGTTGGTAATGACTTTTTGTTTCCTCTCACTTCTACAAATTTTAGTTATATGAGTAGTATATAATTAAGTTTTGTGCGCAAAAGAATTCCATGTGTTTGAAGAGATTTTTTATTCAAATATGAAGAGTTGTAAAAACGAGTTTTGTCGCATCAATGGTTATTACAATGAAGATTTTTTTAGATAATAGTGTTTTTGTATATATATATATATATAGATATATATATATATATATATATCTATATATATAGATATATATATATATATAGTATGATTATAAGTGTTTAATATTTTTTTTGATATAAATGTAATAATAGATGTAGTAGTGTTTTTATGTTATTAAAAATTTTAATATATTTTTTTTCATATTATTTTTTAATTGTATATATATAAATCAACATACGTTTTATATATACAATTTACACAAGTTAAAATAGTCTATAAATCATCAATTAATGGTCGACATAACCAATTATTTAAAACTATTGTGCTTAATAAAAATATAAATTAATTATAGGTTTGCGTTGCTACTAACATTGATTTTTCATGTATAAATATTCTATCATAATTTGTTAAAAGTTATTATTTTATCTATATAATTATATTATCACACAACACGAGAAATTTATATAGTTTTTACTAAAACTCACAATGCATTAGGATGATGGCAAAAAATAGTTATGAATAATCCAAGCATATAGTTGTCAAGCCAGACAAAAGGTTCTACATTTGATATGTAGTAGCTAAAATATCAGATATTAGTACCAAAGAATTTTAAGTTATGTTTGTTTTTGAAGAAGTAAAATGTTTTTGGTTATGAGTATGGACAATATATGTTCATATGTGGCACCCGTTTAAACCCTTTAATGAAAAATATATTGTAATTATATGACTTAACTCTTGATATTCTGTCAAATACATAAAATGTGGTAATGTTACCATATTTAATTACCATGTTACCATATTTAAACCATCAATATATGATAACGAGTGTTCTAAATGGGATGTTTCTACTTTCTAATGAGTTCGTATATATGATAAAAAGTCCAGTAACTTAGATGAAACAAATAAAAATTTATGTTATAATTATTAAATTTGGATATATACTAAACTAAACAATATGAATTTATGTTATAATTATTAAATTTGGATATATATATACTAAACAATGTGTTATTTCGTTCATACGAGATTACTTCAAACCATCATATTCACAAACAAAAATCCAACACCAATTACATGTGTCATGACGTCAAACATAATTCCAAAGTCAAACGTCAAACACCCACGTAATCCTTTTCTCTATTTAAATTATTAACTAATTTGTAAATATATGTTATTAAATTGTATTAGAGTTGCATAAACATAACTTAATTCAATTACAAAATGTATTAAAAATAGATAATAACATATATAATAACAAATAATATGAAAATCATGGAAAGGATAATGTTTTTAGAAAATAGAGCAATATATAATGGGAAAAAGATGGTTATAGACATATTTTTGGGGGTAATTTCAAATTTTGGACACAAAAAACAGGCTTCCAGTTATAGACATAAGTTCTGCGGAGCTCCACTCTACGGGCCCTGCGGACTGAAAATAGCCCCGTAGAATCGGGGTATTTTCGTACATTCGCCCCTCCCCCAGGGGTGAGTCTACTTAGAGGCAAGGTGGGTCACATGACCCACCTAATTTTTAATTGTGTGCATTGAGGTATATATAAAATAAATTTTATACTGATCTTAAATATTTTTAAGGACGTACCTTAATATGTTTGACCAAAAAAAGGAAAGAAAAAAAGTATAAACTATAGATAATAAAAAGACATATCTTATTTGATGGTATTAACGTCACATCCACTCTAACAAGAAAATGATAAGGTAGTTTTATAATATAAATAGTGTTTTCTTTTTCACACTTTAACACCATAAGCTTGTTGGAACCTGGTTTAGACCGGGTTACTCCAAATATAAGTTGATTTTTAGGCAAAATAAAAATAAAAATTAAGGAATGATCAATATATGCTCTATTCTTTCACTGCTAAGTTTTTTACATGCTGAACCAGTTATGAACCGCATGGGTTGAACTGTTTGCACTAACTCGGTTGAACCATTAGAAGCGGCTCGATTGCATCCAATAGAGGAACCACATGGTTTTCTATTTTAGACTCGCCACTACCCTCCCCTCATTATAAAACCAGGTCTCCTCTTTGGTCCTCCTGCTCCCTGCTCCCTCGACATTACTCTGCATCTCCGCATCGACAATAACCCTCTTCGGCAACCCTTTCTTCCGACATCGACAACAACCCCCTTCCGATGATATTTTTCGGTGACAGCAGATGGATCGGCAATTCCCCAACATTTTCGCCGATGGATACG